AGCTGCATGCATAGACTGCTATGATAATCAGGTTTGAGGAGAAGAGAGGCTGGTGGGCAGGGTGGCTTCCTGGAAGAGACCATCCCAAGCAAAGTCTTGAAGTATAAATAGGAGTTGGTTAGACACTGGGAGTGTCCAGTTAGTTCCTTAATGTGACAAACAAGATCTTTCATAGTCCATTAATCTATTTTTCCAGTCTCCCCTTGTATCTTCTACACCTTTTTTTTTCCCCTCCCAGCCCAATTTCTGAATGTTTTTCAAGTTAGGAACGAATGCCCCTGGATTATTTAGTGTTGTGCTTTGGATTTGAGAAAGTACCAAATAAATATGGTGCATCTTTCTGGAGCATCAGTTCTATCAAATGATAAGTAATTTAAAACATGGTTTTATATTAAAGCTTAATATATTTGTGGAGTTGAAGGCAAAATTTCCATTCATTTTTCAAGATAAAACAGGATACATACATTTCAAGCTAGTGGCAAGCCATTTTAGGCTTGCCCTTAGACACCACCATCTGTACCACCTCTTTCTTGTGGAAAAATTTGAGATGTACTATTGGAATATGGCAGGAAATTTTATGTGCCTTTGCATATGCTATTTTGCTATTTGCTCATCCTGGAGTGCTCTTCCCATTTTTCTCCCTTGATAAACTCTACTTATCCTTCAAAGCCCAACTTAAGTGTCATTCCATGTAACAGTCATTTTTAACGAAGCTTAAATGTCATTCCATATGACAGTTATTTTTTAAAAACCCACTTGTGTCCCTGCCTCCTTTCCTAATAGCTCCATAACTCAGTACCTCCTTCTTTTGTATTTCTACCACCCTATACTCAGAATTTCCATTATAGCACTGCTCACATTGTACCATATATATTTGCTTTCCTATCCATCTCTGCTACTGGACTATAAACCTCTGTAGGGCAGGCACTATTATTTATCTTTCTATTCTTAGTGACTGGCACTTGGTAGACACTCAATAAATGTCTATTGAATTTGTGGACCATTCCTTACTCTGCATCACCTCTGCTCTTATATAAAGTGATATCTCCTTTACTTCTCATCTTCAGGGAATGATGTATTCCACAAAAGTATATTTTCCAGACAACTGAAATTTACTTCTTAAAGTATCAAAATCTGCTGTTTAAATCATGTTGGTAGGAATTTATTTTTCTGTATTTTCACACGTGTGCTAGCTCTCGTAAGTAAAATACACTAAGCATAATGTGTTCCTTGATGACCTATCCCCAAAAGTATCAGGGTATGTTTGGTTGGAATTCATGACATCCACTGGGACCACTGATGGGATAGGGCTTTTTGCCTTCACACCAAATAACCCCATTTTCTTGTAGTTTTTGAGTTATGGTGCTTGCTTCTTATAGTTCGGTCACCATTTCTCATTGTCAGTGTTCTTGCTCTAACAACACTACCCTTTGCTCTTTTTATATACGTTTCAATGGATATTAAAATTACAAAACTAATATATGTTCACTGAAAACAAACAGAAGTCTATGGAGTAAAAAGTCAAAGTCCTCCCTTCATTTCTGTCTAACCCCCAACCGTGTCACATCCACACTCACACTCCCTAGCCATAACCATTGTTAACAGTTTAATGTATCCCTACAGGCCTTTTTCTGTCAATGTATGTGTACATGTATACGGACTAATATCAAATCATATTATACATACTGTTATATGACTTGTTTTTCTCACTCGACAATATATAATAGATATCCTTCTATGTCAGTACATCTTAGTCTATATCATTCTTTTTAATGGCTGCCCCCTTTTAATTTGACAATCTTAATCAGCTGTGAATGGGAAAGCCAAATAATCAAGCTTATTAGAATTGTACCTAAGAAAGAATAAATCGGCTCTGAATGAAGGCTTGTGTAATTCTCCTAGGAGGGAAATGTGTTAACTTTAGTGCATGGACTTTGTAATGTTTATTTTGGCTATTCTGGGACCCTTTTTGCTTTATTTCCTGCTTCATTGTGTTTTGGATAGCTGAGGTTGCTGGACGTATGACCTGTGAATTAGTGAGGTATTACATATTCAATTTTGCATTATATAATTTTGCTCTGGTTTTATGAGGGATTTGCATTTAATTTTTTCATTTAGATTGCTGTTATAGACAGTGATTAGTTCTTCGAGTTTCTAAGTACTTGCATCGTAGTGAGGACCACTGCGTGTGGTAGCAGCTAAAAATATTTGGCTTGATGATTGAACAGGCCTTCTTATCTGTATCATCTATCTGTGAGAATGTGCACTGGACCTATGGGAGCTCTCTAAGTTGATTTGAGGGAGCCTTTTACTACTGATGAACATTAAAGTACTGACATCATCTTGTGCTATAAATAATAAAATCTTATTTAGGATTTATATAGACTCTTCCTTCTGCTTTCATCTACCATACTAAAATGGCTAAATCTTGTTGATGCTACCTTTTAGATCTCACTGTAATGTGTCCCCTCCTCTCCACTCACTCTGCCCCAGTACCTTGGTTCAGGCTCTACTGTATCTCAACTGACTTACCTGAGATAGACTTTTTAATTGGCCTCACTGCCTCTTGTCTAACCTCCACCTTGCCCACCCAGCAACTAGTGCTTGTTTTAAAACAGAAATCCTACCATGCCACACCCCTAAAACCCTTTAGGGGTTTCTCATCATCTATAGGATAACATCCACTTTCCTTAGCTTAGTATACAAAGCCTTTTGTGATTTGACCCACTTCTCCTGCCTATCTCTTGCTGCTCAATGTTTCATACTTCAATTTCTAGGGAAATCAGTGGCTTATAATTCCTTTAACACACCACACAAGAGAATTCTCAATAAATGCTTGTTAAATGAATGAATGAAATACCTTATGTAGCTAGGGTGACCATTCAACCTGCTTGGCCCAGGATGGCCCTTATTCACATTTGTCATCCCAGTGTAATTATTAAAAGTGTCCCTTTTTTTATCATCAAACTTATCTCAGTTAGATCAATAAATTCTAAGGTCATCCTTATTATAGTAATTATCAGATTGATTTCTAACTCTTTCTTTTTTTCCTCTACTAGATGGTGAGCTCTTTGAGGACAGGAGTTCATTTTTACATCCTCGTTTATTCATTCAACTAAGAGACTGATGCTGTTAGGTGCTTAGGGTATGATGTAGAATGCAACAAACAAACATGGTTCTTGACATCATGAAGTTTACAATCCAGCAGGAAATAATAATTTAGTGGAAAGAATAGAGCCTAACATAATAAATGTTGGTGTATGAGTGAACAATTAAACATGAATTAGAAGTTCCTCAACAGGCCAGGCGTGGTGGCTCACCCCTGTAATCCCAGCACTTTGGGAGGCCGAAGCAAGTGGATCACTTGAAGTCAGGAGTTTGAGACCAGCCTGGCCAACATGGTGAAACCCTATTTCTACTAAAAATTATTTGGGCGTGGAGGGGCATGCCTGTAATCCCAGCTATTCAGGAGGCTGAGGTAAGAGAATCGCTTGAACTTGGGAGGCAGAGGTTGCAGTAAGCCGAGATCACACCACTGCACTCCAGCCTGGGTGAGAGAGTGAGACTCCATCTCAAAAATAAATAAATAAATAAATAAATAAATAAAAATAAAGTTCCTCAACAAACAATCCTGATACCATGAATTACAGAAATAGTCATAAGTGTAGAACTCTAAGTGATCAAATTAACAATTTATTTAGAGTTGCCAATTAAAATTTTAAAATACAAACAGCACACATATATGTAAACATGCTTAATATTTAGATGCTACCTTAATGTTAAACATGAGTAAAAAGGACAACGAAATAATAGCAAGAATGAGATTCTGAGTTTCATTCTTTTTAGACAATTTATAATCCTATGTGGTTCTCTGCAAAGTGGATTATCAGTGTGTACTCCATTCCTCCCCACCCTCCCTTTTTTTTCCAGATGAGAAATCTGAGGTTTTAGACACTGAACCACGAAACAAAGGAATGACCTTTTTTTTTTTTTTTGGCTCCCAGACATGATCTCGGCTCACTGCATGCCCGGCTACTTTTTGTATTTTTAGTAGAGATGGGGTTTCACCATGTTGGTCAGGCTGGTCTCGAACTCCTGACCTCTTGTTCCACCCGCCTCGGCCTCCCGAAGTGTTGGCATTACAGGCGTGAGCCACCGTGCCCGGCCAGGAATGACTTCTTAAACCAGGATTTGATTTTGGTTGAACTTTGCTTTCAGAACTAGAACTACCTGCTATCCAAGACTTGTTAACCACGTTCTCATGGGCAAATTACAAAACCCTTTCAACCTCAGTTTCCTCTCATAAACTAGTGGTAATGTTATCTCCAGAATTAATCTTAGGAGTAAATGAGATTATGTAAAGGCATTTAGTCCCATAACCGGGCTCCTAGAAAGCACTCAGGAATGTTAGTTCTCTATCCGTTTCCCCTATTTATCTTTCTGTGTTTGATGAATTATAGGATGATATGAAGTGATTTGAAAAGAACTGTAATATAAACATCAATAAAACACCAATAAAAAGTTTATTCTCACATCTGGATGCTAAACTAGGCCTTCACCTCCTCCAAAAGGTACAGTTTTATTAATATTCATTTATTATTTTATTATTATAGTCAAAGACCCAGAGAAGCATTCCAGGAACAAAGCAGCAGGTAAGATTTTTCTGGAAAAAGGTAGAGATTTTGAGGGAGCCAGGATTTGGGGGTCATTTAAGCAGCAGTGGATGTCAGTCTTCAAGCTTTGCCCATTTACTCTTGGTCCCTTTTGGTTCAGGAAAGGAAGAAGAACAAGCACCAAACCATTCACTGAGACCTTTGCGGGTTGGGGAGGAGGGATGTAAACAAAAGTCAACGCTCTCTTTAGTTTACAATGGCTGGCGACCCCAAGACTTCCAAGCTCTTTGGTGAGGGCCAGTAGGTCTGTTCTCCAGGAGTGCCCTGGGTCTGGACTTCATTTCCCAGAGTCCCTTAGTGCCCTAATGTATTCAGTGCTCAGAGTGCCTGTATGTGTGTGAGTGTGAGAGAATGTGTGCGTGCGTGTGTGTGTGCGCGCGTGTGTGTCTCTCCGAGTCCCTGGGAGAGTGGAGGCTCATTCACTGATTAGAGCCAGCGCTGAGAGGCAGCACTGCTCCTTCTCTCACGCCAACCGAGTCTTTTGATCTGTACATGCAATCCCAGGCAGCTCGCGAACACAAACCCGGGGCCAGCCGCCTACTGCTGCTGCTGCCGCTGCCGCTGCCGCCGCCGCCGCCGCCGCTGCCTCCGCCGGCTCTGCGCACCCGGGACTTTTCATGCACCACACTCTCCGCCTGCTTCCCTCCGTGTCCTGAAAAGTGCGACCGTTCTCCCAAGGAATTTCCACGGCAAGTATGGAGAGCAGAAAGGGGTGTGGACGTGTGTGCGTACCCAAGAGGGGTGGGTGCGAGGGCAGCCGGCTTGTTCAGGAACCTGGCTAACTTTCCGGGTCCGTTTCCTAGGGATTCGGGCGGTTCCCCCCGGACGGAGGCAGGGGCTGGGACTGGGACTGGCGCGTCTTGGATCATCGCAACGGAGCCTCTCGGCATCGGCGCCCTGCGCGCTCCGTGCGCTGCCTCGCTCAAACTTTCCGTCTTGAGTTTTCCTTAATGTGTTTTATTTGGGGAGGGGGGGAGGTGCAAGGGGGAGGGACCAGACGCGGGAATTGGACAAGTAGGGAGGGTTAGGGCACTGCAAGGGAAGGGAGCAGGAGTTCTTTTCTCCATCTTTCAATAAGCCCCATTCCCACTTTGTTCGGGTCGATCGCGAGAATGCCTTCTCGCCGGGCTCCCTGGTGCACCCCCCGGTGATTTCCGGGCTCCCTTGTGTACCCCGCGTTGATTTCCGGCGAGGCCAGGGCTGGGTGGTACTCAGTGGGGAGCCCGAGGCGGCGGGCGGATGGAGAAGGGGCGATCCGAATGAGAAACGACCCCTACAGCCTCCACCCCACACACAGCCGGCTCCGCGGGGTACCGGGGGAGTGACTGTTTAGCCCGGAACCCCGGGTGCTCGGCTGACTTTTTCCTAGCCCGGGCGGGTGTGAAGGCTGTGGAGGGAGGGAGGTGGGGTGGGATAGGGGGATCCTCTGCCGGCAGGAAGGAGGCAGGTGCTAGCATAGAGGCGGATCATTCTAAATGCCACCGGTAAACTCCCCACTCCGGTGGGTTGGACCGGCCTGGCAGTAGAGCAGCCCGACACGTGGGATCTCCCGGGATTTTCGGGGTCGGGACCCCCTCTCCCATCGGTTCTACTGAGCAAGGCGGGAGGACGATCGTGGAGACAAGGGCGCCTTACTCTGTTTGTAGTTTTATTTTTATCTTAGACCTGCCTTAAACTGAGTAACAATTTCTCTTCTGACTTGAGAACAAAACTTTTTAGTGAGCACGCCGGTCGCTGCTGTCCTGCGGCCACTGCCGCCGCGCTTGTCAGCCCGGGCCGAGCGACCTTCTCTGCCCGGAGCCCAGCCCCGCCACCGCGCTCCGGAGACTCCGGCCTCCCCCACCCCACCCCCGCCCCCCAACCCGGGGCTTTTCAGGGCTCGGCCTGGGCGTTTCGCCTTTGTGCTTTGTAAGAGAAAGCCTTTTCTTCCAGGGCACAACAAACTTGGGCGGAGAGCTTCCGTGTGGCCCCCCGGGCGAGGCCGCCCACGGTGGTGAGGCCATCCTAGGGGATGCCCGGTTCGTCCCCGGCTCCAGGAGCCTCTCCGAGAGCTCGCGGCCCAGGTCGACCCAAGCTGGCGAGGGCGCGCAGGAGTCCCAAAGTAGCGGGAACTAGGGCAGCCAGGAGGCAGGGGAAGAGCTCTCGCTTCCCGTTAACACTCTGCATTCTCGGGTCTTGGATGCAGCTCCAGCGGAGAGCCCATGTTCCGGCCCTGAGCCGGGTGCGCGTCGCACTGGGTGGGTGCATGGGGCCCGGGCCATAGGTGTGGGGGCACAGCCCTGCCTGGCTGGCCCAGGTCGTCTGGGGTCTCCTGCCTGCGCCGGCCCCCTGCCCCGGGAGCCGCTGAGGGGGAGAGCACGGCGCTCGCTGCCCACGACGCCCAGCAGCCACGTCTTGCCTCTCGCCTCCGCTCCGGACTCGGCTTGAGGGGCAAAGGGGAGAGAAAGGAAAAATAAAGAGAAAAAAGGGCGTCAGTGAGGAAGCAGCGAGGAGACTAGGGGGAGCAGAGTGGGCAGGGGGCCTTTGCCTTGCCTGGCCTCCTCCTCTTTCCGTCTCGCGGGCTCTTCCTGCAAAGGGGAATGAGCAGAGGGGGGAAAGGCAGAAAGAGCGTCGAGGAAAAGCGGTGCTGGCGTCTTCTGTGCCGATCCCTCCTGGCCCTCAGAGACCCGGCAAAAGTGGCGTGAGTTCGCTCTCTGCGCTTCGGGGCGAGGTTGGGGAAGGCCGAAGAAGGGGCGGCGACGCGTCGCGCCGCTGGTGGCCGACGGGGCCGGGGCCGGGCGCGGAGCGAGCTGGGACACACACCTGTTCTGCGAGCCGCGCCGTGTGCAGCGGCCGGACGGCCGCCGTGCGGGCCGCAGAACCCTCCCTTCCGCACCGCGCATCCACAGTCCAGGAGCTGGAAGGGCCCGGCAGTCCCGCGCCGGTCCGCATTTGCAGGAGAGCCGGAGTGGAGGAGCCCGCGGCTGCCCGCTGAAGCGGTGGCGCGCGGCGGCGGGACCCGGGTGACCCCCAGGGCGGGGCTGCTCGGGGGCTGGAGGTCCTTGGACTTTGGTCGAAGGCTGGCAGCTCTGAGCCCCTGCCCCGCGGGCCCCGCGCGGCTGCGGACCAGGGGCCCTTGCACGTGTCGGTTCTTCCCGGACTGGCGCCTTGGTTGCCCAAAGTTAGGCGCAGATCGTTTCGTGCAGAGGTTGTTGGGACCTAGAGTATTCTATATACAAAGGCAACCGAGAGCCGGAGGGAGAGGTCAGGCCAAAGAGTAGTGGGCTTGGCTCCGCGTTGGCCCCAAGTTTATGTAGGTTTCGCCTTCACCTCTCTTCCCCCGTTTCTCCTGAAAGAGTTGATTTTTTCCCAGTCGAGACTCTTCCGACCTGAATAATGCACCCTCTCGCTAAGCCCGTATCCCAGCGATCCCTTACTCTCGGACTGGCCCGGGCTGTCTCGGATTCGCACCCGTTGGCCAAGCTGGGCCTGAATCCGGGTCCAAATCTGGGACCGATACCCGGCCGTGCCTGAAGCACAGGCGTCGGCCCTAGCCCGGGAACTGTGTTGGCCTTATGTTCCCTGAGCTGTCGCATATGGTGGTAAAATTTCTGTTAGAGCGGTGTTTCCAAATACCCCCTGGGCATTTGGTGTGCGGGAATTCTCTTCAAGCGAAGTCTGTGAACTTAAAAAAAAAAAAATTCTTTCCTGCGTTCTTAACAACCCCCCACTACTCTGCCTCATTTCCCATTGTTCTTTGCTTTTTAAGTTCCCTGTTAATTTTTTAAAAGTTTATTTATGCAAAGGAAAAATATCGTTTAATTTGTTCTATTATTTTAATTCCTGGCTTTTGGAAACGGTTCAGAGACCACAAAAATGTCACCTGTTGTAATAAGCAGAGGAGTGTTGTGTGTGCATTTTAATTGCCAGCAGAGCCATAGTTTGGTGGGCGCCCTGAGCTCGGCTCCGGGAAAGAGCCCTTTGCAGCTTTCTTTGTGGCAGTCATTTGCAAATGGGTTTGGCTCTCAGCTACGGCAGAGGCAGCGGCAGCAGCCACCGCTTCCTTCTACGCCGATCCCGGGCGCAGGTCAGGAAGCCCAGACCCTGGACCGGGATGGGCAGAGGATGGGATGGGAGATTACCTACTCTCTGAGACTTTGTCTTGGGCTTTCGGTTTTTCTGTGCGAAAGTGGCTAGTTCGCTCCGCAGAGCGCGGAGCGCTGCGCATCAGCCCAGCCTCAGACATTTTCACGTTCCAAACGCGGGCGTCTTCGTTTCATTTGTCTTGGTTCTGGCATGTTTAACCACGCAATTAGTAATCTCACTAATTATTCAGATAGCTGGCGTTTTGTAATCACTTTAAAGCAGGATCGGGAGTGTGATTTAAGAAACAAACAAACTCCCACAGATACGGAACTGAACCAAACCCATCACGTCAAGGATTTGAAATTTTTTTAACTCAATATTTGTTGGTCCCTCCGTCCAGCCTCACTGCCTGCCAGACAATTTATTTAGCTTCGTGGATTGATCCCTCCTCCTTGTTTAGTTAATTCAACAAAGACTTTTTGCAATCTGTTTGGAGTTTGTCTGATGCCGTGGAAAAGTAGCTGATGATTTATTTGGTTGCTTTTCGATTTCTGTCTTCAGCCCTTCTTTCTCCTCCTTTCAGCGGGGATGTCAGCTGTTATTACTTCCTATTGATCCCTTTGCAAAGTGAGAAGTGAACTAAAATTAATGTCAATTCCACTGCTCGGATCAATAGCTGGAGTTATTTTAATCTGGATTTGCACGAAGTGCTAAATTAAAAAAAATCAGCATAGAGTCAGAAAAGTAACAGTTACTTACTTTCCCTTTGCCCAGTTCTTCACAGTCACCCAAATGCTCCATCAAGCTGATTATCTTACAATCCATATTTTTTTAATTAAGAGGGTCAGTTAGTTTTCTTATTTTGGGTTCTGTGTTTAAACCCATGACATTTTGACATTGGGAGTGTATTAACTATAGATTTTCATAATGACTGTGGTCGGCTGAAGCCTCATCTATACAAGTTGTTAATGTGAGGAGAGGGTAAGAAAGAAAAGGGAAAAGAAAAAAGCACTCCCCCTCCCCCATGGAGACCAACACACCCACGCAGTGGAGTAAGAGAGATGTGGCCTGGAAAAATATTGTTGATTTATTTTCAGTGTAATGAAGTTTTCAAATGAATAACCAGGGTTGAGTGATTCACCGGGTTCTGTTGGAGTGTCCGGTGCTGTCACCAGATTCCTAATTTATGAAACTCATTTAAGATAATGAGGTGATCTAGGAAGTAAAAATAGCAAGTGAATCCTGGGGTGGGGGGAGGTCGTATTGTGAGGGGGAAACATTCCTCCCTTCACACTCAGTGTGTTATGTTTGTCCTTTTCTCCAGTTTGCCTCATATAATATTGCTTGTTGATAGACAAGTAGCTATTTCTGTTGTGAAGAGCTGCTTGGAACTCTTGGAACAGCCCTAGACCCACTTTCAGAGCGTCCATGTTGTGTGACCATTAATCTGACTAGAAAACAGCCAAGAACAGGATTCCCAGACTTGTCAGGCTAACTGGCTGTCCTTGGCAGATCATTCCCTGCACTGCTATAACTTGACAGGAAAGTTATTTAAAATTTGGAAGAGAGAAAAATCCGTTAATGTGAGATACATAATCTGGTAATTTAGCAATGATGTCTATAAGGAAAGATGCCAAATGAGGAAGCAGTCTGATGGTGTCCACTCATCTTCCCAATTAATAACAGTCATTGACACGTCTGCTACAGGATGGGAGAAGGAAATACTCTCTTTGCATTGCATTAAGCCAGGAGGATTCATCTACCGTTTAACTGAGGTTTCTCTATTTGAGGGAATACCAAAGATACTCCAGGTGGGCTTTTTAAAAGGAAGGAGGTAGATTTTATTTCTGATATGACTCTCCATTTAAAGGCTGTTAATTTGTAGCAGACGGTGATTTTTGGTTATGCTTTGAGTTTCATTAAGTTTCTATTTCATGTATATTTTTGATGCTAATAAGTCCTGGTATTCGTCTTTATGTTGTCCTGGCTTTTGATATATAGCCCTTCTCCCAGCCCCCACTCAAAATACACTTTGGAATGGAACCAGCGACTATGAAAATGTACAACCTAAATTTACAAGGGAAACTGAAAGAAGTCTCTCCGAACTCCAATTTGTTCCGAGGGCCTTTATTGGACATCAGCTCTGACTGGGCCAATAAGCAGAGCAAAATAAGTCAGAAATTTTGTTAACATTTTCTTCTAAATGTTAATGGCAAATCCAAGGCAGTTTACAAATCTACTTAAGAGTGAGTGCATTAGTAACTAAAATTACCGATCCGTTCTTTGCTGCCCTTAGAAGACAGACGCTTCTAGAGAGCGTATGCCAAAGGCACCCATTATGGTTTTAAATATTGTCAGAGACGCCAGGCATTTTATTGATGAAGGTTTTGTTCCTTCTCAGAAAAGAGAAATAGAAAGCCCATGTGATTAGAGAGGGGTGTGCATCAAAATAAATGTTAATGCTGTTTGTTCACATAGCACTTTTTTCTGGAAACAGTCTTAGATGATACATGAAGATGTGTGTGTGTGTGTGTATGTGCCAATGTGTATCATTTATCCATGTGTATACTTTGTACTAATATGTACAAGTGCTCCTGGTCTGGATGAACTTGAATTAGGGATATTTCAGTATCAGAGAGTTGTTAGGGGAGATGAAGAGAGGATGCATATGTGGGGAATCGTATATGTAGAATGTGGTCTCTGAACATCAGGCCTGCCATGAGTGGCCTGTGGATGCAGGTGGAAGCACTTTAAAACATGGACCCCCACTTAATCTACTGGATGGCTTGGCCTTCCAAAGCTCATTTGTTCAGGGAATATCGTATTTGGAGGTTTTATGATATTTTTTTCTTTGCTGGGCTCAGGCGCATTTCACCCGGAACGTGTAGGGACCAAAGTCAGCTACGCGTACATCACAGTAAGTTGTCTATTGATTTTCCTGAATGAAAATGGTCTGATGCTGCTGCCCACTGGCTCCTAAAGCCCGTGGTGTCTCTTGCCCGAGCATCTGTAAGCCAGAAGGATGGTGTTTCGATCACTTGGGGGTTTCCCTTTTTTTCCTCCCCCTGACTTTCCTCCCCCTTCTTTTTTTCTCTTTGCTGTTTCTACAGGTCTTAAAAGGGAATGATTCCCCAGTAATATTCCCTGCCCTGACCCAAGGTGCCGCTTGGCCTCCCTCCCAGGGAAGACTGCTTCTTGTGTAACGCCGGCCACAGAAAGAGACTCCGATGGACTTACACCGGGCAGCCTTCAAGATGGAGAACTCATCCTACCTTCCCAACCCTCTGGCATCCCCAGCACTGATGGTCCTGGCATCCACGGCTGAGGCCAGCCGTGATGCTTCCATCCCTTGTCAGCAGCCACGACCCTTTGGTGTACCTGTCTCAGTTGACAAGGACGTGCATATTCCTTTCACCAACGGTTCCTATACCTTTGCCTCTATGTACCATCGGCAAGGTGGGGTGCCAGGCACTTTTGCCAATCGTGATTTCCCCCCTTCTCTACTACACCTCCATCCTCAATTTGCTCCCCCAAATCTAGATTGCACCCCAATCAGTATGCTGAATCATAGTGGTGTGGGGGCTTTCCGGCCCTTTGCCTCCACCGAGGACCGGGAGAGCTATCAGTCAGCCTTTACGCCGGCCAAGCGACTTAAGAACTGCCATGACACAGAATCTCCCCACTTACGCTTCTCAGATGCAGATGGCAAGGAATATGACTTTGGGACACAGCTGCCATCTAGCTCCCCCGGTTCACTAAAGGTTGATGACACTGGGAAGAAGATTTTTGCTGTCTCTGGCCTCATTTCTGATCGGGAAGCATCATCTAGCCCAGAGGATCGGAATGACAGATGTAAGTACTTTGGTTCGAGCCCTCCCGTACCCCCAGTAAGCCCTGCCTCACTGTGATGTTCAACAGGTCGGTGGCGTTTTGCATGCTCCTAGTAGCGGGAAGGGCCAACTACTTCCCTTTCGCTAGCTGTGGAGTGCTAACCTTTGCTTGTCTCTCATCAGTGAGCACTGATAGTTCTTGAAATGTTTTTCTGAAAGTAGCCAGAGGCAAGTTGGCCCCAGCACAGCCTTTCTCTCCGGGTCATGGTGGGCTTATTCTCTGAGGACTGGAGTGAAGAGGGGTACCACTGATGTAGTGAAGTGAATGTCATTTCATTAAGAAGTGTCGGCTCCTAGGGAATTTGGGGGGCCTAAAGAAACATGTCCACCCCTCCTCTCTTTGCTGTCCTCATTATGTTTGTCTGATCTTAGTGTTATTTTTTAGCTTTTCCATTGTATCACATCCAGCAGACTCCACGTGATTCTATTTTCACAACTCTCAGCCCTTGTCCACATCAGGCTATTTTTCAGAGAAGGACAAAGGTGTCGTCAATCACCATAAAGCATTTCAAACAGCTGTGTTTTCCTTGCGATCGCAAGGCTAGAAAGCCGACTTCTCTTGGGATTTCACAGGTTTGCTGGATGCTTATCCTGGGGCTCACTTTTAGGACTAGACACGGTTGACCTGTGGGACTGCTCCATATTTGATGTTCACAACTATTATTAATTTCTGCTTATGAAACAGTTTTTTCTCATGTTCTCCAAGTGCCTTGTTGGGCTCTGGCTACACTTACTCATAGCTGGAACTAAACCTTTATTTGGAACTTGTAGACTAGGAGTGCTGAACCCTGCAATCCTTTGCTCTAATATAATCAGAAAATAATTGTGTTTTGAAGCTTTTGGGCTGTGGGTAGACAGAGCAGTTTTCTTCAAGCCTGGTGAGAATTTATGAACTGAGGGTGTTTTTTCCACCCAACCCTTTGTTCTCAGATTTGCTTCATTTTATTTTCTTAAGAAAACTACATCTGAGGTTTGCCTTCCCCTTTTCTCTATTTTTTCATGCTCCCGTCCTCTCTATAACCACCAACACGAATACCATTTTTTCCCTCCTCTTTATGATGCCGAGGAGAGTAATAGAGACATTGCAGCTCTCTCCCCTGTCGCCACTGCTTCCTCAGGCTGTCTCCTTGAATTAGGCACTGTGTTAACTTTCCTGCGCTAAAAGGCATCTGCCTAAACCCAGCGTACCTTTTCAATAAAAGTCATCATAAAATCAACCTGCCTTGTAAATCCATCGCTCTTTGGTTTTGAAATATGTTGCAAGTGTGTCTTTTATGTCAGCGTCTGTAAGCCGGAGACCTCCCCACTTAAGGGAGAAGGCTGCTGGCTGACAGCACCACTGCTAGTGTTGTCCTCTCCCTTTGGCTTTGGCTCTCTTTCACCTTTTCACTTTCTGTTGACTTGTGTGTCTTGTGATCCTGCTTCTTGGATATACCTGCTGGACAGGTATCGGCATTGTGTTGGTCAATTTTATTTTATTTTAGTTTAGTTTAGTTTTTGCTTGTCCGGTGATGTGCAAGTGATCAAGGCTAGTTGTAATGTGACCTCCAGCTAAAACTGCCTTGTGTTAGGGTATGACAGGTTCTACCCCTTTTTTTCCCTCCAAATACAAGTTGAAAATTAAATCCTCTCATAACTAATATGCCACAAAGTAACATCTGGAGATTGAGATCCCTCTCTTCTTACCTAACAGATCCAGCTTGTCTCCATTTTTCTATCTTTTTAGCCCAAACCTGTATCAGACTCCAGAGCAGGAGGAAGCTTGTTAGTCAAGTCAGAACTCATAGACGTGGATATCCATTCCTCTCTGAGTGTCAAAGCCATAACTCTTCTGTTTGCCTGGTTTGCATTGTGTGGTGGTGGCATCCCCCATGGAGATGGATCCCTCACACAGGAATACGCCTGGGTGGAGAAAAATTAAATGAGTCTGTCTCCCAAAGTGAAATGGAATTCTGACCTTGAAATTAATGAGATTCTGATCAGAAGGGTGGGGAAACTTCTTTATTTCCAATGTAGTGTTATAGAAATTGGAGTCCTTTTCTTCTTTTATTCATTTAAAATATTCTTCCCTTATAGAGTACCTTGTGTTCTCCTTTTTTTCTTGTACACAAGCATAAAACCTAGAGGAGTGTCTGTGAGGGGAGGGTGTTTGTATACCCACGTTATTATCCAGAGTTGCATTTGTGACTAATCTTTAATAAGAAACAGAGGTGCAAAGTGAAAAGGAGGCTGTGCTACCCTGTGGTCACCCTGGATTTGTGCTCTTTCCTCCCTTCCTTACCTTAGGTGGTTAGCACATCCCTCACTGGGTCACACTGGATAGCATTTGTGCTTTTGATTGCGAATTTTTGGAAGGCAGGAGAAGTATTTTTCTGTAAGGAAGGGTTGAAGAGGCACTAAGACAAAGTCTGCAGCAGCTTTCTTGGCTCCTGTCATATGCCGACGTGTGTCGGAATATTTATGGTCTGCTTTATGTAAATACATATTTAAGGGCCGTTAGAAGGCCTGATTATTCCCACTAGATGCCTTTCAGGTCCTCCCTACAGAACCGTTTTGAAATAAGTAATATTTCTCAGATAATCGAGTGACAGTATACAAGACTGCTTCCAAAGGGAGAGAGAGCTTCAGGGGCAGATGGGGGCAGTGACGGGGGATGGGGATATGAAAAGACAGAGGATAAAAAGTGTTCAGATGAGCAGAGTGATAGGACACAGTGCTTTTGCCAGATTGCCCAAATTACCCATATATGGTTAATATATACACACACACATATATGTGTATGTATGTATATATATTTATTCTTAAAATTTAGAGTTAATTGCTGATTTGGTTGACTCGTTTTTCAGTTCTCTTCATGTAAATACCTTTTCATAAAATATTTTTTAAACATTTTAATTAAATGCAGCAGTCAAACTCCAAAGTAAGCATTTAGCTTTAGAGTTTTGTTGGTGGGTGGGGGCGGGGGGTGAGAATGGGGATGTGTGTCCTTTACTTAGAGCAGAAGTTTTTATGACTGAGTTTTAGGTCATTAAGAAATCAGTTGTATAATGGAAACACTGACAGTTTTTACTGTTGCAGCCACCCCCTGCTCACACACTGCATCAATATGCAGATATGTCCACTTGCGAGCCCACTGGAAAGAGAGGCCTGCAGACATGGTGTAATGCACACATGTTCTTTCTTAAATCTGGGTAGTGGTAGGCAGGATTTCTTTTGTGATTAAACACGCATTTTTGTAGACAGAAATATAGTTTTTTGGGTCAAACATCATCTTTCCTGGTAGGTGATTCTGGTTTGCTCGCCTGTCCATCCACCTGGCTTCACAGGTGATCCCTGAGGGAGGTGTTGGGCTCTATGGGAAACAAGCAGTCTTTACTCTACAGGACTGACTGACTTGCCCTGGAAAATGGGAGAAGCATTTTGTGAGAAGCCATTCATGGAGGATGCGTAATTCCCGAGGAAGGGGACTGAGGTAACTCCTGTTTATTGTCACTCCCCGAACCAGTCCCCAAGGCTCGTTGTCCAGGTAAATAATGCTAAAATTTATGGACCAATTACAAATAGTTCACGTGTGCCTTACATATGAAGTGTCTACAGCGATGTTTCCCAGGGCCTTTAAAATAAACATTTCCTCATTAAGGAAACTTTACAACAAAAGGGAAGATAAGTATTGTCTGCTGTCTTGTGTTAGAATCTGTACATTTATTACCCCTTTAGTATTCTGACTCCTGTCGTGTGCATTTCCTGATGGTTCTCTTCAGGCTGCCCCTGTGCCCAGATTCCTGCCTGTGTGACACAGCCTTTGGCCAGCCTGCCAGCCTATCCACTCAGCCCAGATTGGAGTTGGCGAAGTATACATGCTCACCACTGGGCCGAGAGGGCCCAGAACTGCCCACGTGGAGCGGTGACTGGCGCTGCCTTCTGGCTTTACCCCAGGGATGGACACTGGGCACTGACCATAAGTGGCTTGACTTTGCCCTCTTTCCTCGCCCTTCACTGTGGTCAGGCAGAGTCACAGGGAGGCAGGAAACCTGATGGCTCACAGCAGCTCCTGGATGTTCCACTTTGCTCTCATCTTTGATGTACTTGGGCAGCCATTCTTGGGTCCCAAAAGCCCTGAGTAGGAGATGGTATTTTGTACTCTGTGTCTTTATAAAGGCGTGTATCATTGAAGACCCTGTGTTCTAACAGTCAAATCAGCTGAGCCCATCTAGGCCAAAGGCAGCCTGGAATGGGGAGGGCTGGGGTGAGGGGGATACTTTCCAAGGGCTCTGGGAGTGGAGTGGGCAGGGACTCCACTCTGGGCTTTTAGGAGAGTTGCTCTTGCTAGGGAGAATGTTTGGGGCATGCCAGGTGGCCAGGCTGCACCTCTGGGTTGCAGCTGGGACAGATGACCACTGGGAAAGGGCCAGCAAATCGCCAGAAGAGCTAGGTCAGATGCTTCCCTCTGTCCTGACTGCCCAGACCTAGCCTGACTCTCCCTCAGCTGCTCCCGGGTTCTCCCCCACTCCCCGGGGGCAAGAACTCCTGTGATGTGTATGGTTGTTTCTGGTTGTTCACTCCCCACACAGTCATGGAGACTCTTTTTCATGCTGCTGGGTTTAATTGTCTTGTTGGGATAAAGAAATGTTTGCACAGCTAAAGTGGAGCCGGGCTGGACGGGAGCGGTCCCTGATGGCTGCAGAGCCATCTGGCCTGGCTTGGCTTGGCTCGGCGCGCCGCTCGCCCGGCGGCTGGGCTCGCTCTAGCTGTGCTCCCGTTCTTCCCCTGCCCTCGCTCCACGCCGCGCCGCTCTGTGCAGCGGCTGCCTCCTCTTACGGCCGGAATGCCTAATCACCATGGTGAGAAAACGGACACCGCAGCCGTCCTCCCTCCTCGCCCCGCGCCCTCCCTCCCATCAATTGTCATGCAGAAGTGATCCGGGCTGCCGTTTCCTCGCGGCCGCCCGCCAGCCCCTCGCCGCTCCCGGCAGAAGGGTGGCTGGTAATTGATCGTCTGGGGGAGGGGGCGCGGAGAGGCTCGAGAACGGGCCCCGGGGAGACCAGGACACGAAGTGGGCCCCGTTCGCTGACTTGCAAGGGACCCCCCAGCCTCCGCCACCGAGGCAGCTTGCAAGTGGTTTCAGAAATGTTGGTGATCTCGCCGTCGCTCTGCCGCACTTGGAGGCCGCGGGAGGACTCCGCGCGCCGCCTGGAGAGCCGGGAGCGCCCAGCCCGCGGCCGCACACACGAGAGCCCGTCGCGCCCCCCGCCCTGCCCCGCCTCGCCCTCCACGTCCCCGCGCCCCCAAGTCGCACTAAGAACCCAGTCCCGATCGGCTTCCTCTACGCCGTCTGAGCAGAAGAGAGTGGGGACCCGGGTGAGGGATAAGGGGGGGCGCCCACGCGACGTCGGGGTGCATGGGAGCGCGCAGGAGGCGCTAGTGGGTGCACGGGGCGTGAAGGGGACACAGCGCGGGCGTGGGGATGGCCACTGCGTGGGGAGGGTTCTGCCTGGGGGAGGAGGGATGGGAAGAGGGTGGGGGAGCAGGGCGCGTGGAGGAGGGAGGTTGGACGTGTGTACAGCGCCTGGGGACCTCGCTGGCCCCTCGGTGCCCCCAGGACTCTGAGATTTCTCCTTTGGGCTCGAAATGTTTTTCCCTTCCTGCTTTTCAAATCTGTAAAAATGTACCGGGGAATGTTTCCTAAGTCCAGGGCTCCGTGCTTCGGCGGGATTGCTGGCATTCGGGCAAGGCGAGTCGCGGTGGCCTCTGACGGTCTGAGGCTCGCAGCCAGCACAGCGGGACTTGTTAAAGTCCGGGCAATTTCTGGAACTCTTCCCACGGGAAGTTTTCCGGGGCTGCCTTCCGGTCAGCGGCCCCAGGTTGATTATTTTGTGGCCCTTTTTTGTTTGAAAACAAAAAAAAAAAAACACACATTGTATCCAAATAACAAAAGTTGCTGTCCCTCCCCATCCCCTTTCCTCATTAGGCAGGGAAGAGGAAACTGGAAAATAGAATTATACTTTTATATTGGTTTTCTTATTTTTAACCCTTATTAACTATATCCATCTGGTTAATAAATGTTAGCACACATTGAAATGTATTCTTTGTAAATAATTGAGATTTGGAGTGACAACATATTTAATAGAGTTATATTTTTATAATAGTTTTTCTTATTTTTAACCCTTATTAACCACTTATTAACCACATCCATGTGGTTAATAAATATCAAAGCACACGTTGGGACGTGCTTTATAAATACTTGAGATTTGGAGTGATGGTACATTTCATTGTAAAATCCACAGTATTTTTAAACACCAAAATAGCAATATTGTTTGGACTTGCATATTTGCTCCTAAGAGTTTAACAGCATTTCCCAGCACCGTTTTATCCCGTCTTAAAGAGAGATGAACTGCAGACTGAAGGATAATTTATTGCTATATATCAGCTAAAATGCCTTTAAAAATTTTTTTTAAGTATCATTTAAATTGTGGCGTCTATGGTTGAACAGAATGTGTTGCTATCCTTTGTAACTTCACATGTGTGCTACACGGTAGGAATTTGTAAGTATCTTTTTCTTTGCAGCAAGAAGGAGAATCTTCTGCGAAAGAACTTTCTTACGCCTTTTCCAGGAAAAGATCCTGGACTGGGACTACATGTTGGGCCTGGAGAAATCACAGGCTGTGGTATGAATCAGAACACCTGGTAGATGCTAAGTAAGCAGAAGGAATTTATCATCTTCCAGCCTTACCCAATGGATCGGACCTTTCTGTTATCTTAATCACACTACTTTAGTTTTAGTGTTTAAAAAAATTACTATTTTTTGCCAGGTACCAATCATATAAAGGGGTTTAGTGTTCATTACATATTGAATACCTTAATGGTGGTGATTATAATCTAGTTTTTACTTTTAAGTTTTCATTATCTTACCACTCTTCAGCATTGCACAGAACAGTATGTGTAGGACTGTGCTATCCCAAAGGCATAGAGGTTTGAGGAAATAAAGGAAGGACTTATTTATGCCTTGAGGTGTCATGATTACAAAGGTAGGGAGGGTGTTTTCCAAGAGTTTGCGAAATAACCTTTCTCAAATATAGACTTATTTTATTACTTGGGGTACTGTTAATACAAAATTGTTTATAACTTAACAAAAATTTAAATCTGCTTATTTCTTCCAACCCTTAGAAACGTAAGATTGGAGTCTATCCCCTCTCCAAATGTTTTCCCACAGCATTACATCCTCTATCGTGGAGTTCACAATACGGATCTGCTTTTGGTGTGTATTTTAGAAAAAAGTTTCTACCTAGATCCTGGCCGAAGTTGGAAACAGTCAATGATGTGGAGGTTTTGTAGACACATGTAACCATCTGGCAGTTCGGATATGTGGCTGTCAGTTTTCTCTGTGGAATGCGTTCTGGTTGAAGACGACCTAGAAGAAATCAAAGTTGTGCTTTTGGTGGGGAGACATGGTGCTGTGTCCAGTACATTCTGTTAACAGATCTGAAGCTTTAGGAAAATCTGGAGCTATGTGAGTGAAGAAGGAACCTTTTGTACAGTCTTATGAGAAATCAAGCCCAGTAAGTTTGAGTGTGACTTACCAGGCAAGAGTCGTCTTTTTCCACCGAAATTCATTTGCAGACTAGACTTATGGCTTTACATCCATCTTAGTGCTGCAGAGACAGAAAGCTGTAGGGAAGCGGCAAGGGCCAGCCCTGGAGAGGCCTTCGCTTTATTTTCAGGTATATGATTCCCATTGAGGTGCCAGCTAATCCTATATTGCTCTCATTTGACCTTGCTTCTGGGGGTTTGATTTAAAGCAAGTCAGAGTGGCCTAGCATAATAAATACCTGTTAGAGGAATAAAAGCTATATTTGCCCCTTTGAGCCTCAACTTGAAGGTGTTTCAGATCAAAGTTGGGGAGGCAATATAACATAGTCATTATGAGTTTGGCCTCTGGAGTTAAGTCCTGACCTGTTGGCTTACTTGCTTTCTGATACCAGGCAGGTTACCTAATCTCTCTGGGCCTCAGTATTCTCACCTGCAAAATGGGAATTACACAAACCTAAAGGGTTGTTGGGAAGGACTAATGAGATTAAATACACAGATAATGCTTAGAACAGTTTCTCACACATACTAAGTGTTCGATACTTAGTTACTATTATTATTTCAAGGACAATCTGGTGGTATAACCTTGCTTGTTACAAGCACTGATATAGCCAAACACAGGGTCATTAACAACTAGCAATGTATGTAGGGTCCTTTCACGTACTCATGCCTCATGGCAATGTGGAAAGAGGGAGGGAGAAAGGCTCGAAAGCCCATTTCTGTGATGGCCAGCTACTTCTCCTCCCTTCATTATTATCCATCCACCAGGATTAGCCCTGGTGTCCTCGTGACCTCTTTCTCCCTTGTTTTATTTAGAAGCAAGGTAGTAGTCGAGTTAGAGAAACTGAGTCTGGGAGTCGGGAGAGGACTTGACTAGGGTTGGATATCTAGGCAGTGGCCTGGGTTAAAAAAGCCAAATATCACGGTATTTTCTTATTCTGAGATTTTATATTACTGGATATTGTTTGAAATCAATGGGTTATTAGAATTTGTGTGTGATAGAGATTCGGACTACATGTAATGAGATTTGCTGTAATAGTATTTGACTAGTATTTGAATTCACAATCCCTGGGTTTCTCGTGTGTCCTTAGGTTTTAAGTTATACAGACACTTTTACCCTCTTGCCTATGTGAGACAGATCTGTGAACCTTCCCCCATCTGTGTGTGTCACAGTCCCACAGCATGATGGATTGTTTCTGCTTGGGGGAGGCTTAGGACAGGGCTTGAAGGGGCCTTGTAGGTCAGAAGAGAAATACAGCAGCAGGACTGAGATGGGGGTGCTGCCTGGGGAGGGATTAGCAGGGGGAAGGGGAGGGCAGGGTTGGGCGGGGCATAGTGTCTGTGTGCATTCTCCTAGGAGTAAAAGAGGGCTGTCCATTACCCTGAAGGCACAGATAAACTCAGTGTTTTTCTCTTTGTAGAAAAAAAGCCCCATGGGACTTGGGAATACCAGAGAATGACTCTGCATGTCAGTGGGAGAGGTGGGGAGTAGAAGGATGGGAGTGGGGAAGACTGACCCTGTGCCTGAGGACTTCGGATTTGAGTCTGTTATTTAAATAGAGTAGCTCATGTTTGAAGAGCCTCATGCCCACACATGTTTGTAGCAGAAATAGCTGTTGGAGGCCAGTCATCTGATACCTCAGTCTCTATCAACTCCTTCATGGCTCCATTTAAAGGAAGGGTTCAACTCGCCTTTCGAAGTAAAGTGTCTCTGAAGGTCATGGAGCACCCAATTCTGCTCCCTGTCTGTCCTCAGCCTTTCCCACATATGGTCACAAAGGTGTGTGCTAGGTAGGAAGGGAAATGCTGAATGTTCTTAATTTTTGGTTCTTAAAAAAGGGGAAAGTCTGGGATTTAGGTCCAAATGCCAAAATCATGGTTCAGAAGGAATTCTAGAAAAGGAGCGGAGCCTGAGAGGTAGCTGGAGCGGGAAGGGCAGTGGTGCATGCTCGGCTGAGGAATCAGCAGGACTGCAGTTAGGGCCTAGGCTTCAGCTTCCTTCCTGAGCAGTAAAATTAAAAAAAAAAATCCTTAGAACAACAAAAGTCTGGACGCATGGGCTTCCTTCCTGACAGGCCAACCTGGTGGGGCTTCATTCAGACCGAGCAGCAGTCAAGGCTGATTTACGGGGAAAAGAACCCAGACATGGGTTTAACCCTTTCCCAACCACAGCGAGGCTTCACTGCAAATGCTGCCTCCTTCTTCCAACTTACCATCATGGTGTGGGGAGATCTTTATTGTCATTTCTTCTTTATTTAAAGAGAGTACCTGCTGCTAAAGTGCCTACTGTCCTCTTCATGAGAAAGCTGACCCTGTGAGAAGTTGAGTGACTTTTGAGAAACCAAGTCTGTGGCTCATGGCCAGAATAGCTCTCAGGCTCTTGATGACACTGTATTGACTCTGTAGTATTGAATCCATCTTTGATCCCATAAGAAGTGCCTACTGGAGTTTGTATTGGGGTGTCGCTGTGAGCCCCAGTTTTACCTCCATAAGATACTGGTCCCACAGAAGGAATAGTACTGCTTCATCTTAGCTATTTGTTGGTGGCAGTGGATAAAACTGTGGCAGAGTATGTGAGACATGACTCAGTTGCCATATCATTGGTCAAATATGATGCAGTCATTAGTTCGTTGAATCATTCAGCTGTATTTACTGCATGCCTACATTGTTCCAGGCACCATGCTGGGTACTGGGAATAGACTGATGCGCAAGACAGATTATACTCCCTGCCTTACTGGACTTCAAAGTTTAGTTAGCAATTGCAGGATGCTGCGAAAACTGCATCATAGGGTAAATATAACATGCCATGAGACTTAGACGTTGAAGCATCTAATCTTGTGTAAGAGTCAGGGATAGCTTTCTGGAGCAAGTGACCTTTTAAGCTGATATCTGAAAATCAAGAAGGAGTTGTTTATTCAAAGGAGCTAGGAGTAGCAGTTTGCTTTTTTGGACAAACTATAGTATCTGAGAGTGGAAGAAAGAACTCCAGAACTGCCAAGGATTGGTCACAGTGAAGTGAGAATAGAATTGTTCCCTGCCAGGACCTGAGACCTGACCTTGGATGTCTATAGCGCTTCATCCTATAACGAGGAATTCTTGAGAATGTCCATTCAGTGCTTATGTGGCTCTGAGGCTCATCATCATCTAGGGTCCCGCTTTTAAAGTAACTTTCTAAAGATATGTCACTAGAAAAATGCTTTCTGATGACATATGCTATCTTAACCACCAGAGGACCCGTGAGCACCCAGAACCATGCTTGGCACAGAGTAGATACTCAGGAAATACTTGCTGAGTGAAGGAGGGCCATTGCCCTGCTGATGTTTAGTGAGGTAGATTAAAGGCCCTCATCCTTTTACTAAAGTTCAGGCTTAGCTGTATCCTTTGCCCTACCCGGAAACGTGACAGGTCTCAGGGCCTAGAGTACTCGCTTGGCCGTTAAACTGAGCCACATAGCACCCGGGATTCTTGGCAGAGTTTCTTGGCAAAGTTTCCTCTGGGAGGTGCATTGCTCAGGCTTGACTTTCACAAGGGCGGTTAGGCGTGTAGTGCCAAGAGTATTGAGGAAGGGAAAAAAGAAGGCGAAGCAAACCGTTGTTCCAGCCTGGCACACGTCGGCATGCTAAAAACAGTTCCTTCTAGCCGGGGCCTCTGGACTCCACCATCCCCACTGTGGTTTTCCTTCCCTGGCCTCTTATCTTCATCATCGCTGTACATCCACGAACATTTCCTGAGCTCCTGTGTGTAGAGCGTTGTGCTCGGTGCTGTTTGCAGGGGAATCAAAGAAGTAGGAGATAATACTTCCTCTTCTTGACGGCCTTATGGTTAAGGTGAGTAGCTAAACTGTATATATGAAAAAGAAATGATAGTGTAAAATGACAAGAAGGGCACTAGGATTTCAAGAGAGAGTCATCCCTGAGGCTGGCTTTCCTAAAATGTGATCTAAGGACTGTCTGCTTCAGATCACTTGTGGTGGTGGTAGTAGAGGATGGGGACAGGGATGGGGGGGGGGTGAAGAATGTTATTTATAATGCACATTCCCAGGGCCCACACTACACTTCGTATTCACAATCATAAGGAATGCAGCTTACAAACTGTATATTTAGCAAGCAGCCATCCCAGGTGAATCTTGTGCTCCTTAAGGTTTAGGAATCACTCGTCTAGGGTGAAAGTCTCAGGGGAAGGTTTCGCCGAGGTGTTTGGCCTTGCAGAAAGGGGAGTGAGGACTTGGGGGGTGAAGAAAGGAAGAGGATGGAAGCCCACTGAGGAGTCTGGGCAGGCAGGGGAAGGGTGAAGACCCAGGGATCTGCTCACAAACAGTACCTTTCTCATCCAGTCTCCTGTCTCGGGGAGGATCTGTCCACCTGTCCCAGCGCCCCCACTGCCACTGCTCCTCCTCGGATTGCCTCCCTCTGCCTCTCTTATTGCTGATCAACTGACTGTATGTACCCAGGCCTCCCCTTCTTGGTGCAATATTATAATGATGAGGTAGCCCAGCAGAGGGGCTGGAGGTGCTTAGCCAGATGCGAAGGAGGCCACTGTGCGCTGCGGTGCTCCTTGGGCTCCAGCCAGCTTATCTTCTCACTGCTGTTGTTCTGCCGAGAAGGGGCTGGAGAGGGTTTGGTGTGTGTGTTTTGCCAGCCTCCTCTCTCCTCTTCCGCAGCCCTTGAGCTTTCAAATGCTCATTTGTAAAGAAATAAAAGTTGGAGCGTTAGAGGAATCTCTCAGTGGCAGAATTAGTCACCAACACCTGCAGATTGGCTTTCTGCTTTAAGCTTTAACCCTTCCAGGGGCAGCTGCCACCAGGTAGAAGGTTCAGTGAGCCGT